CAGTAATTCATGTTCCTGTCCATGTTGTACTCCCCCCAGGCCTGACCCCGGGACTCCCCTACCCACACCAGACTCCCCAGGGCCTGATGCCCTATGGTCAGCCCCGGCCCCCCATCTTGGGCTATGGAGGTGAGTACAGGGGGAGCTTGAAAGGGTTTAGTGACTGTGAAGGCTGGGAGAAAGGAAGCTTAACCAAGGTATAGTTGAGGTCACAGGTTTTCAGCTCAACACTGATCTCTTGTGTAGCTGGTGCTGTCCGCCCTGCAGTCCCCACGGGAGGGCCTCCATACCCTCATGCCCCCTATGGTGCTGGCCGAGGGAACTATGATGCCTTCCGAGGCCAAGGAGGTTATCCTGGGAAGCCTCGGAACAGGTGAGAATGAGCTAAGACGTCCCAAGCTTTCTTGCCCTCTTCAAGCTCCCTTTCAGGGATTCTCAACTGTCTTCCCATCTTACCTCTTCCATATCTCACAGGATGGTCCGAGGAGACCCACGGGCCATTGTGGAATACCGTGACCTGGATGCTCCAGATGATGTGGACTTCTTTTGAGCCATCTACTTTTCCTCACTCCTGGTATCGTCTATAATTGTGACTGCCTAGTCCCATCCAGCTGAGAATTTTTTTTTGTACGTTCAACCCTACTGCCAATAAAAGCACTTCCATAGTGATTATCATGTACCTCCCCACATTCTCCCAAAGATTGGCTGGGGCCATAATTAGCTGAGCCTCACCACTTTATTGACTCCAAAGGCCCAGGCAGCTTTTGCCTTGGAGTAAAGGGTTTAGGTGTGTTTGGGGCCAGAGACAGTCTCCATTCTGGGCCCCGAGCCTCAGTCCAGGGCGTGTTGCTGCTTTTGGGAGTTGCAGCTGGTCAAGCACAGGTTGTAGAAGGAGTTGCGGTCAAAGGCTGTGCGTACCTCTCTCCATCCTATCCACCCAGCTGCCTGTAGTTCACTGGGATTTTTCGGAGCACCCCAGAAGTGAGGGTCCAATACCAGAACATAGGCCTCTGTGCCTGGACCCAGGCAGACTCCCAGCAAGGCTTTGGACTGGGCATCTGCATCCCCCCCAACCATTACAGGCCCCCCGCCCCCTGTGAAGTGGGAGTAAAGCCTCTCCAGTTCCCCCTGGAGCCCTGCTCCACGGGGTACGTGACACAGGCGCCCCTGGGGCCCTCCGAAGTGGTCGAGGCACAGACTGGCTTCTACACAACCGATCCAGCTCTGGGAGCCCCGGAACCCGGGGGGCTTGTCGCCCATGTCCTCCAGGGCCGCCTGCACGGCGGCTAGCCCGGGCACGCCCGCGGGCCGGCCCTCTGGCCACGAGCACAGCGTCTGCAGAGTGCGGTAGCCGCAGCCCCAGCCCCGGTCGTCCAGGCCGTCGCAGCCGTAGTGATAGTAAAGGTAGTGGCCCGAGAGGAGGGCCAGGCGAGCGGGGCCGCGGCCGGGCGGGGCCAGGCCCAGGTGCACGTCCTTCAGCAGCTCCAGGGCGGGCGGCGGGGGGCCGGGCAGACGCGTCCTCGCGGCGCGGACGGAACTCCGGCTCCAGCGTTTCCTCTCGGCCCCGGGTCTTGAGCTAGCCGCAGGCAGAACCGACGGGCGGGCTCTGGGGAACCTTCTCTCGCTGGTCTCCGGCAGCCGCGGAGGGCGAGCTGCAGCCGCGGGGAAGGCGCCACCCGCGAAGCTCCCACAATGCACCGCCGGGCTGCCGTTGCTACTGCGCAGGCGCGAGCCCCGCCTCGTAAGGTGGGGCGGGGCGGCGGGGCGGGCACAGGCACGCTCCGCCCCGCTACTGAGATCCGCAAGTTGGGAGGGCTCTCGCACCAGCCCCTCTGTCTACTCAGCCCCGGTGTTTGAGGCCCGCTCCCTAGTCGCGTACACTGCTGTAGCTGTAACAGTTTATTGGCAGCCCAGAGGGGCGAAGGCACCGCGGGGGAGGGGCTCGGCCCGAGACATGCAGAGGGCGGGGAGCCTCCGGGGATAGTCGGGGGGGAGGTGGGTGGGCACGTTCTAGGGCTCCTCCGTGTTATATCCCAGCCCTTAGATAAGTATATACAGCTAGGGGGCCGGGGGGGGGGGTCCCGTCTGGGTCACAGGTCTGAGCAGCGATCCTGCTTGCTGTAATGGTCAAACTGGTTCTTCCAGTGCACCATGTAGGAGCTCCAGCGGTGGAACTCGGCCTTCCACTGGCGCTCCGCCTCGTCCAGCGTGTCTGCGGCCAGGGCGCCCGGCAAGTGGGTTGGAGGAGGACAAGGGGAAGGTCAGGGAACGTACATGGTGGGGAGCGTGAGTGCAGGAGGATACAAGAATGCAGGAGGGCACGCAGGACGGTGGAAAGAGGATCAGAAAAATATGCGGAAGACGGAAGACCAGAGGAAAGATGAGAGTGGAGGCGGGGCCGGAGAAGGATGGCGGGGAGGAAGGGGTGGGGGGAGGAGAAAATGACCGTTAGACAGGGGGACAGAAAGGATCAGAAGAGGGAGGACCCGTGGGTTGGTGGGGAAAAGAGAAGAGACAGAAATGTTGACTGTTACAGCCCCACTAGGGGGTGCTGTCTAGCTCCCGGCCTTCCCTCTCCCCCCAACACCAGGCTCCGGCTCCAAATAATTTTATAAAAAAAGAAAATTGGCTTTTTCATTTCCATTTAAACAACAAAGGCGTGTGGGTCCCTGAGACGGGTCATAGGTCACCACCCCCTCCCGGCCCTGGCCAGTTTGAGTCTCTCAGTTTGAGGAGGGAGGGTGCGCTGGGTCGGAGATCCCTGAGTGGGGCCCTTGCCCACTGTCCGACCACTCATTAGAGGAGGGGGGCCCCCTGAGGCCGGAGGGGTAAGTGGCCGTGGTCACAGCCGCAGGAGCCGGGCGAGGTGGAGGAAGAGGAGAAGGAGGGGCAGGGGAAGGCCGGGCCTGGGCCTCGGGGCGGCCTCCCCGTGGGCGGGCCCTGAGCAGGTGCTGGGAGCCTTCGAGGCTGGGGGGGGGATGGTGGAGAAGAGAGGGGTTACACCCGGCCGGCTCCCACTCCCCTCTCTCTCTTCGCGCCCCTTTTCTGCCCTCCTCCGCCCAGCCCCTGCCCTCTGGCCAGCCCCTGCATACCGGTGGCGCTGAGCAATTTGGGTAGGAAGCGGTTCCAGAAGGCGCAGGCCTGGGCGCGCAGCCCCCGCCGCACCTCCAGCGGCCGCAGGTTCAGGCTCACGTACTGCTGCGCTCCCGCCGTGTACGGTGGCCACTGCGGGACTTTGGGGTCCCGGGGGTCATTGGGGTCCCTTCGGAAGGAAAGGGAAGGCTCAGCCTCAGGCAAGCCTGCCCCGCCCGCCCTTGGGACTGTGGACCGGAGATGGAGAGCAGGAGGAAGGCTGCTTCCGACCCGTGCGCTCTTCGGCTCCCTGGAGAACACATTCCCTCCTTCCCACCACCTCTTTAACCCCTCTTTCTGGTCTCCCGGATCCCCCATCATCTGGAGCCATCCCCTTCCTCCTGACCTCCCTCTTTCTGCCTTTCCCTCGGCTTTACTGCTCCACCTTTGTCTTTGTTTCTCCCATTTAAAACATCCCTACGATTTATGAGCCCTCACTATGCAAGCAGGCTGTCCTAGCTCTACAAACATCTTGTTTTTGCTTTTGACAACACCCAAGTGATGTCGGATTTATGGTCCCCTTCTTCGGACAGGTAAACTGGTGTGTGAGTACATATGCATGTGTGCATGTCACAGCTAATAAAATCACCACTGGCTCAATAGAATCCAGCTCTCTCCAGTTCAAGCTCCTAAGTACTATGGTAATTCCTTTGTCTCCCTGTCTCTCTCCTCTTCGCTTCCCTCCCCCTCGGTCCTTGATTCTTCAGGACCTGCCATCCTGTTTTCCTCTCCAGTCTCCTTTGTCATTCTGTCTCCGTCTTTGTCTCCTTCCTTTTGTGAACTTTTCCCTCCCTCTCCGGCCCTTTCTGTCTGTCTCTGTTTGTCTTCCTCTCTCTGTCCCCTGCTCTTGCTTCTCTGGTTCCTGGAGGCCCTCTTCCCCTCAGTACTGCTGACCCTGTGCGGGCGAAGTTGGCCCAGTATCTCATCAGTCGCTGGGCAAAGGTTCTCTCCTCGGCGGTATAGTTTAGCGAGGGTTCCAGAGGGAGCCCAAAGATGAACTCGATCTCGTAGCCATGGGGCACCCCCATCCAGAGGGGCCAGGAGAGCGTAGACGCGCGGTGTTCAAAGATGTAGGCATAGACCCGAGCACCCTGGGCAGCCAGTCGCCCAGCCAGCTGGGCCACGGGGCACACGACGTTGTGGTCGCCCACGACATCACTCATGGCCTCTCTCAGGCGTGCCGGGTCCTCAGGGTGCAGCCAGTCTGTGTAATGCAGGACCACAGCCTCGGCAGCTAGGTCACTCGCCTGGGGGACCCCGACCCGCACCCCGGCCAGGAACTGGGCCCGGCTGATGAGAGATTCGTTGTCTTTGCTGAAGCCTGGGGCCCCGTAAACCAGAAAATAGGAGCCCTCATCCTTCACCACACCCACCAGCACCTGGGGGGACAGGATGGAGGGATGGGGGGGTACAGACAGACAGGCAGACAGAAACAGATGGACAAAGAGCCAGAGAGATCAATAGTTACAGACCCCAGAACCATGGAGGAAGAGAGTATGAGGTTGGGGAAGGGACAGAGAGAAAGAGAAAATGTACCCATGTTTCCTTTTCTCTCTGCCCCACTGACCACCCTGGGATCTGAGCTCTCAGGGAGGAGGGGGCGGCCCTGGGGCCAGAAGCCCAGGCCTTTGGGAGTTGGATCTTGAGGAGCCTTCATGCCTGGGTCCCCGGGGGTGGGGGGTGGGGGCGGGCGGGAGAACAGGCCTAGAGGAACCAGCTCCACCCCTTCTAGCCACTAGTCACCTGCAGACCGTGGAAGTCTCCGGCATTGATGAGGGCCTCGGGTGTGTCACTGAGGAAGTCTCCATCCACCACAGGGACGAAAGAGAAGCGGAAGACACTTTCTTGAGGCAGCACGTGCCACTCGTGGTCCACCAGGTCCTGAGCTGGCCGTGTCCTCAGGCAGGCGACCAGCTCTGTGTCATTGCCCCCAGCACCCCCCGGGGGACAGCCTACGAGGCGGGCCAGCAGTGTGGCCCTGCGGCGGGCCTCTCCCACACCCACTGTGGCCCAGGGGCCGTTGGGTGCACCGCTCTGCAGCACAGCCCTGTGGAACAGGCCCCGGCTGGGAGGGGACAGCAGGTGCATGCCCACTGAGGCAGCTCCCGCACTTTCCCCAAACAGAGTCACTGACATTGGGTCGCCCCCGAAGGTTGCCACATTCTCCTGCACCCACTGTAGGGCCAGCCTCTGATCCAGTAGACCCACGTTGCCTGGGGCCTCACGGCTCCCTGGCAGGGCCAAGAAGCCAAAGGCTCCTACCCGGTAGTTCATGGACACCAGCACGGTCCCCTCAGCCTGGGCCAGGAAGCGGCCGTCATACACGTCCAGGGAGGAGGCCCCACTGTAGAAGCCACCCCCGTAGATCCAGACGAGGACAGGGGTGGGGGACACAGGCCGGGGGTATGGTGTCCACACATTGAGGTAGAGGCAGTCCTCCCTCAGCTCTCGGTTCGGGTTCCACATCTCGGTGCCCTCAAAGCCGGGGTACAAGGTGTCCACATATTGGTAGCAGACACTTTGGAAGGCTGTGGCGTCCAGCACCCCTGGCCAGGGCCGCTTGGGCTCCGGTGGCAGAAAGCGACGGGGGCCCACAGGTGGCTCTGCGAAGGGGATGCCCAGGAAAGCGGAGACAGGGCCCCCAGGGGCCATTAGGCGGATGCCCCGCAGCCGGCCCCCACGCACCGTCACCAGCAGCTCTGGGTCCTCAGCCTCTGCTCCTCCTCCCAGGAGGAAGAGGAGGAGGAGAAGGATTGGGGAAGCCAGGGAGGGCGTGTGCAGGGGACACCAGGGGGGCCTCATGGCTGCCAGGGCAGGCAGGCGTCTGCTGGGAGAAAGAAAGGCAGAGGGTGAAGGCCTGAGGCTGCCAGGAGGGAGGAGATTAGGTAACACTCTTGCCCAGGGGTTATCACTGAGCTGCAGAGGAGGTGGGGCAGGTTGGTAGAGAGGAGAGAAACGGAGGGAGGGAGACAGGCACAGACAAGGACACAGGCAGACAGGGAGAAGCAAGAGGGGACAAAGATCAGGCACACTACACAACACCCAGACAGACGGACGGAGGGAACAGAGATGAGGCCTGCCAGGCAATCCCTTCCCCTGCCCCACAGAGCGCCCACCACCCTCACCTCCTTCCCCTAGCTGGGTGGACTGGGTTGGGCCCAGCCAGAGCACTGCGGGCACCCGCACTAGAGGCCGCAGTCCACACACAGGCCACCCGACAGGGGCGGGGCCCTCACTGACGGGAGGCGCCGCTGGGGAAGCTTGGGGTGGTGTGAAGGCGCCGCCTGTCCTGAGTTGGCCAGGGTCGGGGGTCCTGGGGGAGTGGGTTGGGCATTCAAGGGTGTGGGAGCTACAGGTCCCGGGGTACCCCAAATCCTGCTTACTCCACACCCTGCCCCACCCTGCTCCTCCTCGTCCACTGTCTGGCACGGGGCGCTGGTACCCGTGGGTGCCGGTCAGCTGCGCATTCACCTCGCCTAGCCTCAGAGATCAGGCTCGCCAGCCCGGGTCCCCCAGGACTCGAGTCCCCCATCAGTCCGATGCTGCGGGGCACGCTGCCGCCAGTGGGGGGCAGTAGAGACCGAGAAAAGGACGGCGCTCCCCGCCCCGAGTCCGGGAGCCGGGAACTTGGGGCGGGGGTCTGGAGGCTCGCGGGCATTGCGGAGGGGTCTGAAGGGCGAACCGGAACGCCTGTGTTCTCGGAGCTCCGGAGATCCCCGGCTGCAGGGGCGAGGGCGCTATTTTGGGGCAGCAGCTGCTGTGGTTCCGGCATCTCCAGCCAAGGGATCAAAATTCCCCGGGTCGGAACTCCCCCCTCCCGCGGCGGTCACCTCGCACCCGGCCAACCCCCACCGCCCTGAGGTTGGGGTGGTGGTGGTGGTGCTGGGGATTAACTAGGAAACCCGAGTGGCGCTAATTATAACTCGGGGCTTCCGCTGAGCCTCCCCTTTCCCCAAAATAGAGACGGAGTCCCCGTGGGAGGGGGACGCCTGGGCCTCGGAGGGGGCTTCGGCTGGCCGCTGCGCAGGGGCGCCGGGATTGCGGGATCTGAGGGGGGGAGTCAGCCCGGCGCCAGCAACCTGCGCAGCTCGGGTTCCGCCCCAAGCAGGGGGCGTCTTCCAGTGGCCCCACACTTGGGGGCGGGCGGGGGAAGGGGCGTTCGGGGGTCCCCACAGGAATTCGAGAGCAGAGGCGGCGGCCGGCCCTGCGGGGTGCCGGCTCCCGCGCGGACGACCGTAAGTATGCGGCGGCGAGGGAAGAGTTAAGGATGAGTGTGAGGCGGCGGGGGGCGTCGCTGGGCAGCCCGGGGGCGCGGTGGGCGTCCCGTTCGGGGGCCCGGATCCCTCCGGGAGCGCACATTTTCCCGGACGCGGAACGGGCCG